TTTCCCTCTGTCTGGATAATGGTTAGGAATGCCACTTTAACAGCTATTGCAATATGAGTAGAACCCAAAATATTCCTTAGACCTAAGGACCTGGAGCAATAATCTAGCCAATACAGTCCTCGCCTTGCATGCATTGGGATCCCATATGGGTACCAATTCTAATTCTGGCAGTCCCATTTCCCATTCCCTAGCTCTCTGCTTATGGCCTGGGAAAGCATTCAATGATGGTCCAAAGCCTTGGAACCCTATACCCACATGGGAGACCTGGAGGAGGCTCCTGGCTCTTGGCTTCAGATTGGTACAGCTCCAGCTGTTGCAGTCACTTGGGGAGTGAATCAGAGAACCAAAGATCTTCCTCTCTGTCCCTCCTCCTCTCTATATATAGGACTTTCCAATAAAAAATCAATAAATATTAAAAGAAACTTCAAATTAAGTTTTAATAAAGATTCCTTATTTATTTATTTATTTATTAAAGGGAGAGGCAGGGAAAGGCAAAGAGAGATCTTCTATCTATTGGTTCCTTCCCCAGATAGCTAAATGACCAGCACTGGGCCAGACTGAAGCCAGGAGTCAGGAGCTTCTGCTAGTCTCCCATAAGAGTGGTAAAGACCCAAATACATAGGCCAGCTTCCACTGCTTTTCTCAGGCCATTAGCAGGGACTGGGACTGAAAGTGGAGTAGCCAAACCATGAGTCAGCACTCATATGCATTGCCGACATCACATGTGGAACCTCTACTGCTACAACACAGTGCCAGCCCCAAATTAGATATCTGATCTCACTGTTCCTATTTTTTTCGAGATTAAAAAAAAATTTATTAGAAAGAAAGATTCACAGAGAGAAGGAAAGACAAAGATCTTCCATCCACTGGCTTACTCCCCAAATGGCCACAAATGGTTGGAGTTGAGCTGATGTGAAACCATCACCCTTAGAAGCTTCTTTGGGACCTCCCATACAGTTGCAGAATCTCAAAGACTTGGTCTATCCTTCACTACTTACACAGGCCATAAGCAGGGCGCTAGGTTGTCAGAGGTGCAGCTGGGACATGAACCAGAGCCTATATGGGTTCCCAGCGCTTTCAAGTGGAGGATTAGTTAACCAAGCCATCACACATAGTTTTTCCTAATCTTTTCTGTACATCATTATCTCCTTCAGATTCATTTTTCAGAGTGGAATATCTCATTTAGATAGTGTCATTTTAATATTGGCATATGGCATCTAGGCACAAGAGGCAGTCCCTGTTTTCTCACAAATTGACTTTTCTGATATGTGTAAGGAATCAGGTGCATCGTGAATGTCCTTCCTAGTATGATTTGGTTCTTTAGAGATTAGTGTATGAAACAAAACATCTCAGAGGAAGTTGAAGTGAGTGATCTTGGCTGGGAAATGCTGAAATTGTGTAAACTCTGGAGTCAGAGAAAAATAAAAGGGAATGTTCCAGGGCAGCAAAGGGTATAAAGGCAGTTGGCCAGCAGACGAATTACTCTGCCAGTTCACTCTTGAAGTAAACTTCCTCTTTAGGACAACATGATGCTCAAGGTATGGTGACATTTTACGTGACTTACTGAAATTGTTTTTCTAGCATACTTCTTCCTTTCTCACATTCCTCAGGACAACTGAACACTTTTTAAGAACTAATCATCTTTTAAAATTCTTCTGCTTTCAAAATGGCACTTTAATTTTTCTGATAACATCTGGGCTACTGAATCAACTCCATCTTACTTTCCAACAGTGTTTGACAAATAAGAGGCTGATCTGTCATATATCTCAGGAAGAAAACTGGATCACAGAAGGTCACTGAATTTTAACCTAACTAGAGGAGGGAGAGAGTGCTCAGGTGTGCTGGTTCACACAAACCAGGACCTGGGAACACACCCCAAGTGCCCACAGGTAGTGTGACTCTAAGAACTAAAGGCATGTGGGCAGCAACTTGGTGTCTGGACCTGAGGCAGGAGTCAAACCTGGGTTCTCTAACATAAGATACAAGCATTTCACCCACTAAGCTAAACACCTATCCCCATTAACCGCTAAGCTTCAGAAGTGCTGGTTTTGCTGCTACACAACTGCCTTTCTGGTTATCTGCTTATTGTCACAGTCCTTTGTCACAGATAAGCTTTTTGCACAGGAATCACACTGTTTTTGTCAGGTATTTTAGAGACCTTAGAAAAACTGCCTGACAAATCACAAGAACTTATTTGTTCATTAAATGGCCACATATTATGCTTTAATTTCTATATTAATCATTGTAACTAAAAAAATGTAAGTGCCATAAGAAAAGCAAGCAGACTAGGTAAATTTTAACAACAGACTGGCATGAAGCTTCCAGACAGTGGTGCGGCTATATGTCTCTTATGTCCCTTTCCTTCAGGGGACAGGAAGACAGGAAGAGCCCAGTTGTTCTTTAGTTTATGGGCTAATATTCTGGTCTTATCTGTGAGAGGACAGCACAGAATTTCATCTTAATAAGTTACCAACAGCATGGTCTCCAGTGGATAGATGCCAGAGCCACCTTCCAGGCTCCATTGTCAGCACCCCATCTCCTACCTGTCCCTGAACACACCTTTCCCCATAGGCAGTGCAGTCCAAGAAAAGGTGGACTGCATGTGTCATTAAAAGCACTCAACTGTGGGAATCAGGATGGGACAGGGCTGTAGGACAGATTCTTCCAACTAGAGCAGAAAATCCAACACATATGTGAAATCATAATTTTTACTTGGCAGATGATTAGACCAGCTTTTGTTCCTTCTCTGCCTTCTTTTGTTTACCCTCAAACATTTATTCGAGCATAAGCATAAAGCAGCCTGAAAAATCCCGTTTTCTTTTATCCCAATCAGCAATGCTTACACCAGCACCTGATTGGTCTCCAAGTCTTCTCTCTGTCACTTTTTTTTTTTTTTTGAGCAAAGCTTCAGAGAGGCAAAAAGCAGCCCAAGCTTCACACAAAGTGCAGGACTCTAAGAATGGGACTGGCCTGTGGCCAGACTGAAGGACTTGCAAATGGGCTCCGGTTCCAACTCCATAACTGTAATCTGGAACTGAGTGCAGGATCAGAGCTTCAGCCATGCTAGGTCCCCTAATCCAATAACTTCTCACCCTAAAGCTGAGAGTTCAAAACAGAGTACCTAATGTTCAGAGAGACAAAGGAAGTTGTGCAACAATATAACAGAAGAGCAGGGGAAGTGACTGAAATGTACTGTGTAGCACTAAGGGCTATGCATATAGTGAAATATGACTGGAATGGATATTTTTAATTGTATACAACAGATATTCTCCTATGGAGATGTGTTGGAAGCAAAATAATTGTCTATGCATTGAAAAACATGATATTTGAAGAACTTTCAAAGTACTCTTCTGCTTTTAAGTGTAAATAATCCTGTGAGATTTTTTATTATCAAGCTTGCTGGGTGGAAGCAGAATGGTCTTTCTCATTGGGATGACCACAGACCCTTCATAGTCAACAAGTCCACCATGGGTCTGTCTTGGTTACCCCCAAGCCTGCTGTCTTCCTGTTTCCTCTCCAGAATCCAGCCTGCTGCAGCAGTGTCTTCACCACCATCACCTACACCTCTGCAACCGATCATCTATATAGTTGCCCATGGCAATCTTTGCAGACCCAGTACTAATCAGATGTGCTCCTTTCTCAAAAAGCCCTGTAGCTCCCCATCCATGTCACCATCTTCAGCATAGACTAACATTCATCATCCAGTCCTAGTCTGCAAACACATCCTCTTACCCTGTCCGCTGCATGAAGGTCTGTAGCTTAAGTGTGCCACACTCGGGCTATCTTTAGGCACTTGCACCTCTAAACTTCATCCTCATCCTCTGCACCTTCACCTGGCTAACCCCCTTGAGCTTACACAGCCAGGCCAAATATCAACATCTCCAGGCAGTTTCTACCAATAAGAACAACAGACAGTGGTTCTCAAGTCATGTATCTAATTTCTAATTTCCTTGTAGCTCTATTTTAAAAAGCAATTGATTTTCTTAATGAACCAACAGATCAAACGTTGTCATATTAATGATATGTTGAATGTTGACTTAGCATATAATTGACATTTTAAAATTCTCAAGATGTTTTATACCCTTTGCTCCTATTAAATTTTCAAAGGTCAGTGTGTATGTTAGTCTTCTGACTCGTTCAGCATTGGACAGGCCACCTTCCAATGCTTCATGGTCCCAGGTAGAGAGGAGCTATTGTTCAGATGTGACAGTGCCACACCATGTAATCATCACCTAGACATACTGAAGGAATACTGAATCCTGTGGTAGGCTCCCAAATATGCTAATTGCAAGGAAAGTCTAATCCTAGTAGCTACAGTTGGGGCCAGACACCTTCATTCTCAACAGCATCCCAGGTAGTCCAGGGCTAGTGGTCCAGGTGAAGGGTATGAGAATCAGTGACTTCAGCTTCACACCTGCAAAATGAGACTCATGGTACTTACCAGGAAAACTACAAAAGGTAAATGGATCGTGTATTTTACATGCTCAAAATAGCCTAGGCCTACTTCTAATAGCAGTCATTACCAGCTGCTCTAGTGCCTCCCTCCAAGCCCAGCTATCCCCTTACTGTAGCAAGATGTCCCCACACCTGCCTCTCTTCACATTCTGTGATTCCCCTCCCCCATCATTCAGTGTTCTTAACTAAACACAGAAACTTGCCTCATACAGAATATATGCTTGGTACACATCATTTTTTAGAAACTGAACTAAAATTGATATACTGGGTTTCCTCTAGTAGGGCAAAATGTTTAAAAGTAAAAAGTTGTACAGTGTAAAGCTATTAATCATCTTCCTTTTATAGTCTGTCACAGAGAGCTTTGCCAACATGATTCACCACTTGAAAGTGGGACACCTCACAGAATCTGTAATTTGGAGGAGCAAGAGAATGATCCTGGATACACTGGGCGTGGGGTTCCTGGGAACCAACACAGAAGTGTTTCACATCGCCAGCCAATACAGCAAAGTAAGCTCAAAGTTGGCTTCAAGGACAAAATCCAGCAAGTGCATATGCCTACTTTGGTGTATACCAAAGGGTGTGTGGGTTTGGTTAATTTACTCTATAGTTTTATATATATCATTTGCCCCTTTTTTTATGTTTTATTACCTGAGTTTCAATATTTATCCACATCCCTTCCTGAGCCACTATCATAGAACCTAGTATTACCTCCCAGTTCATTCTTACTGCTGAAAACCTCCTTAATCTGACTGTCTTAGAAGTTTCAGTGCCTGCCACTGACCATTTGATTTAAGATTCTTGGAAGAAAAAGCTGCTCAAACGCTCTGGGCAGAAAACAGCACAGATGTTGGATATACAGCATCCACTTCCCACTGGATAGCCTACACACTTCACCTTCCTCAGAGTTTATGCCTGAGAATTAACTACGTTCAGACTCTGGATGCAATCTGTGATACAGCCACAGCATCCCTTCCCTCTTCCATGGGGAAAGTTTCATATCCTTCCACAAGGAAGAGAGCAACACATCGACTAAGCCTTCCATCTAGCCCACAGGATCCAATTAAGTACTGTCACATAATACCTCCAAGGATAACAACGCCTGATATCACGGCTTAGCAATTTGTGCTCACTCTCTGTATCACTCATGTTCATCTGTTTCAGGTCTACTCTTCTGGTGGAATCAGTACTGTTTGGGGTCAACCAGACTTCAGGCTCCCACCCACCTATGCTGCTTTTGTTAATGGAGTCGCTGTAAGCAGGTTTATGTCTCTTTCCAACTATCAGATCATCTTCATAATTTTGTAACCAAGAAATGTCTTAGGAATTGCACAGCTTCCATATGATAGATGACACAGATTTGAGATTACTGAAATTCAAAAAGAAAGTGGTCTGTTCTCTTATCCTAGATGCTAATTTTAGTTTTCATGTTTTAGAAAAGGTTTTTATTTATGTGAAAGAGAGATAGCAATTGGTATCTTTCACCTGCTGGTTCATACCTCCAAATGAGTACAACAGATAAAACTGGGCCAGGCTGAAGCCAGAAGCCAGGAGTTTCCACCATGTGTGGCATGGGTCTGAGTACTTTTGCCACTGTCTGTTGCTTTCCCTGGCACAACATCAGGAAGCTGGATTGGAACAGTTTGAACATGAGCCAGCTATTTCATATGGGATGGAGAAATCATAAGTGGCAGCTTAACTTGCTGCACCACAGCACCAGCTCTAGCTTTCAGGGTTTTCTTTCCATAGGAATTTAACGTTTTCTAAATGAACCATCAAGTATAGAAAATTACAAAACTTAGATAAGAACAAATGCCAAGGTATGCCAGCATTCAACTTTCAACATGTTAGCAAAAATGCAAAAATCAATACCCAGTCAATTCCACATCAGTTCTTCCTATTTAATATGTGATTTGTCTAGTAGTATGTTCTTCATTCAATGGATACTAGGAAAATAGTCACATAAACAAGTTTTTTCTGAACAAAATCTCCGTAACTTCCCATCTTAAAGGTGATTTAGTATTCTTTCTGTGTGACAGAATCAATCTACACGATGCAATGTGGACATGAACAGATTGGGGTTTCTGATAAATTTTTGTGGTTGATGGGAACAGTACTTCAGAATACTAAAAGTCAAATCTAGTGGTTCATTCAGGAGAAGATGTCCAGCAAGCAGTAGGAAATGCTCCAGCTGCATCAAACAGACATAAAAATCCACTTTTAAATGAACTTCTGGTTATTACCAACAATTTTATATAAAGGAAAATGAATAGCTGGGATAAAGAGGAATAAACCCTCACAGCATAAAATAATGGTTTTTAAATCTGAGCTCTGGATTTCTGTGCTATTCTTGCAATGTTTCTGAAAGTTTGAAATTAATTTGTAATAAAAAGTACAAAATATATAAGACATAATACAGAATAAATTATCTTACAAATTATTTCAGTGAGGCTTGTTTAAAGGATAAGGAGGAAGGAGTATCCATCTGACTCTAGTGTTTTTTAAATGTATTTATTTAATTCAAGAAGGAGAGAGAGAGAAGCAGAGACAGGGATCCAGCATCCATTAGTTTACCACTCCAAATGCCTATGACAGCCAGGCCTGGACCAGGCTGAAGTCAGAATCCAGAAATCCCATCCTGTCTTCCCATGTTTGTAGTGGGGACTCAAGCACTTGAACCATCACGTGATCCCTCTGAGGGTATGCACCAGAAGGAAGGTAGAACTAATAGCCAGAACAGGGACTTGAACATATGCATTGCAGCATGGGATATAGGTGTCCCAAACATTGTCTCAACTGCTAAACCAAAGGCCTGCCCCAGTTTTGTTTTTAAGGAACAATATAGATCTTGTGTAGGCTGTGGAAGGTGCAGCTGCTGCCCTCTGGGCCAACAATCAAGCTCCATAAAGATCACAAGTTGCCCCCCAAGCAGAGGGTCAGCATTTTCCAGTGCCCAATTGTGTGATGAATTATCACAGCCAGTTTTCATGTATTAGAGCATCAAATCAAAAAATTTAAGGATTATTTCAGAAACAACAGGATTATTGCTAACCTAAATCTCTGCTGATTCAAAAAGCCATCTAATTTAAGGAAACATGTTTTAGTTTTTTGTTGTTTATTTCTCTCTATGCAGATCCACTCAATGGATTTTGATGATACATGGCACCCTGCCACCCACCCTTCTGGGGCTGTCCTTCCCGTTGTCACAGCTTTATCAGAAGCCTTGCCACAGAGTCCAAAGTTTTCTGGTCTTGACCTGCTGTTGGCTTTCAACATTGGAATTGAAGTGCAAGGCCGATTAATGCGTTTCTCCAAGGAAGCCAACAACATACCAAAGAGGTATGGAGAGAAACTGACACAACAAGAGACAGCCACATTCCCTTTATCTATCAGTTATGACTTCTGTTGAGCTTTCTGACCTACAGGCTAACTCAGCTAAAGTATTAACACCAATGCTAGCAGATAAGTCAGTTCCACTCACATGGCAGATCTCATATCTGTATGTAATAAAAGTGTGACTTGGGGAATGTCTTGGACATTTTTCCTTTTGGTTTAGATTCAATGAAACAACCAGGACCATGAAATAAATTGGGGCCTTTCATCCTAAGGGGAGTCATGTCCTTCTGGCATCTCCAGAGGTCCTCTGAGTATCCTATCCTAAAAGCATAATCTGCTCCACTATTCACATGGGCCTTCAGGATAGTGAGAACATTCAGAATAGCCTAATCCTAGAAATCCGTCCTACAGATCAAATGTTAGCTGCATGAAAGGGATCAGCCTCATCTTTATTTCGCCACGTGGTCCAGCCTGCCAGAAAGCTAAACTAGAATACTGTTTTCTGAACTTTCAGTCTTTACAAAGCTCTTAGTTCTTACACTCGCTCACCGAGCTTCTAGCCATTTATAACTCTAGTTTTAACGACAATAATTATTAACAGTAACATTTTAAAAGAACTAGTTATGAGTTAGGCACACATACTTTCCTTGAAGACTCTCAAAATTTTTGTAAGGTAAAACATTATTGTTTTCACCATTTTGCATAAGAAAGGTACAGGGGAGTTGAATGTTTTCCCAAGAACACACATCCGTAAGTGGTAGAGCTGAGACCTGACCCTCGACAATAAGACAGAATTGTCCATGTTCTCCACAACCACCCTATGCTGCATCCTGGTGGGTAAGGGTCATACCTCTCCAACTCTGCTTTTTTGCTTTTCAGATTTCATCCTCCCTCGGTGGTAGGAACTTTGGGCAGCGCTGCTGCAGCATCCAAGCTTTTAGGGCTCAGCAAGACAAAGTGTCAAGAAGCTCTGGCTATCGCCATCTCTCATGCAGGAGCACCCATGGCAAATGCTGCTACTCAGACCAAGCCCCTTCATATTGGCAATGCTGCCAGGCTTGGGATAGAGTCTGCATTTCTGGCAATGCTGGGTCTCCAAGGAAACAAGCAGATCTTGGACTTGAAAACAGGATTTGGGGCCTTCTATGACAACTATAACCCCAAAGTCCTTCCAAATCTCGACACCTACACTTGGCTGCTAGACCAGCAGGATGTGGCTGTCAAGCGTTTCCCTGCCCACCTGGCCACCCATTGGGTAGCTGAGGCAGCCGAATCTGTACGAAAGCACCTAGTGACAGACAAAGGTCGGCTTCCTGTTGAGCACATCAAGAGAATTGTGCTGAGGATTCCAGAGGTCCCATATGTAAACAGGCCCTTCCCAGACTCGGAACACGAAGCTCGTCATTCCTTCCAATATGTGGCCTGTGCCATGCTCCTTGATGGTGCTGTCACCGTCCCATCATTCCAACAATCCCAGATCAACAGGCCACAGGTTAGAGAGCTGCTCCAGAAGGTGGCGCTGGAGCACCCTCTGGATAATATTCCAAGCTTCAACACACTGTACTGCGAGGTGAGCGTCACCCTTGGGGATGGAGCCACCTTCACTGGGCGCTCGGATACCTTCTATGGTCACTGGAGAAGGCCTCTGAGCCAAGAAGATCTGCAGAAAAAGTTCAGAGCCAACGCCTCCACAATGCTGCCCAGCGACACAGCTGAAAGTCTTATAAAAATGGTAGAAAATCTTGAAGACCTAGAGGACTGCTCTGTTCTAACCTCACTTTTAAAAGATGCTTCCCCTCAGAGGCCACAATATTCAGCCCACAGTAATTCCATCCACAGTCACTCCTGAGGCTCACTGATCCTTAAGTGAGTCAGTATTTGGGGAATCAATAATTTGCTATAAAGCAAGGAACTGCTATTTGGTCGGCCCAGGAACACCTGCTATAAAATGGCAAGACTCGGGAAAAAAAATTGCATTCATCTGGAAAGTACCTTGCTGAATTCTGCATGATAATTCAAATCACCTAAATTGAGATGATACGCAAGAAACACAAAAAAGTTGATTTGAGAATTATTTACTAGTGTACAATTTAAGTAATCTGTGATCTACTTGCAAAAACTAATCTTTTCCAAGGATTGATTTATGAACTTCATGGACCTCAAGACTACAGATAACGACCTTGAAGGTGTATTTATGGTCAGTGGAGAGTAGTTCTGGTCTGTTACACCACCAGCAGATGACTTAGCTTGTGCTTCTTACCAACCTCCCCACAGTGCAATGGATATACTGGCCTCTGCAGACAATATGCTCTATTTTCAATCAGGAATATTTGAATATTTTAATAGATTTGTCTATATCTAATTTACCTATCATTTAATGACCCATTTCAACTATATATTTCAATTAGCTTTGGTAAATTTTAGGGAGTTGTACCAATACCACAACAATCCAAACTGGGAATACTTCCATTGTTTCAAAAAAACTCCTTCTGCCTGCCTATAATTAATCACATTTCTGCCTCAGTCCTTAGCAAATGAGACTCAGTCTCTGTAGTTTTATCATTTCGGGAATCTCATATAAATGGGATCATATAACATGTGTCTGACTTATTTCACTTACCATAATGGCTTTGAGATTCCTTCACATATCATTCAGCACTTTATTCTTGTTCATTGTTGATATCTATAGCACACATTCCTTTTCATGTGCTAGCTAATTAGAGAGCTTGATTATTCCCAGGTTGGGCCAGTATAGACGGCACTTCCAGAAACATGCACTTGCAAATCTGTGTGTGGATACACGAGTCCACTGGGTAGATACCCGGCTGTGAGGGTGTTAGACCACTCGGTAAATGTTACACTGAACTTCGGGAAAGCTGTTCTCCTACGTGGCTCCAGCATGCAGGATTTCACAAGCAGCTGAGGAGTGGTTCTTGTTTCTCCTCACTCGCCATAAAGCTTGGCATTGTGAATCTTTTTACTTTAGCCATTCCAGTGAGTATGAAATGGTATCTCATTATAGTTTTAATTTGCATTTCTCTAAATGACTGATTCTTTCCCAATTTTTCTAATGATTCTAACTTGGTTATCTTCATATTGTTGAGTTATAACAGTTATTTAAATATTCTGAGTGAATGAATCTTTTAGCATATAAGTATTTTGTAAATATTTTCTCCCATTTTGTGGCTAATCTTATTTTTAAAAATAATGTTTCTTGAAATGAGTTTTGCATTTTGATATATCCATTTTTCCATTTGAAACACTATTCACATTGCTTTGGATGTCATTACAAGAGATTTTTTTTAATCATATACTTTAGGGCCTGGTGCAGTAGCCTAGTGGCTAAAGTCCTCACCTTACATGCACTAGGATCCCATCTACTCCACTTCCGACCCAGCTTCCTGTTTGTGGCCTGAGAATGCAATAGAGGACGGCCTAAAGCCCTGGGATCCTACACCCACATGCAAGACCTGGAAGAAGCTCCTGGCTACTGGCTTTCGATCAGCCCAGCTCCAGTGGTTGTGGCTACTTGAGGAGTGACCCAGGAGACAGAAGACTTTTCTCTCTGTCTCTCCTTTTCTCTGTAGATCTGATTTTCCAGTAAAAATAAATAAATCAATCTTTTTTAAAAATCATATACTTTGGTGCCAACACCATAACATAGTGGATTCATCCTCTGCCTGCAACACTGGCATGCCATTTGCATACTGGTCACATCTGAGCGGTACACTTTTAATCCAGCTCCCTACTTGTGGCCTGGGAAGGCAGTGGAAGACGGATCAAGTTCTCAGGCCACTGCACCCACCTAGAAGCCCTAGGAGAAACTCCAAGCACCAGATTTTGGACCAGCTTAGCTCCAGTCATTGTGGCCATCTGGGGAATGAACCGGCAGATGGAACACCTCTCTGTCTCTCCTTCTCTCTGTGATTCTGCCTTTAATATAAAGATAAATAGATCTTTTAAAAATATACTTTATGTTTATAAAGCATATTTATTTATAAGGTATATAAGTATTATAAAGTATAATTTATATAAGACACACAAAAATATAGAAAGGCACAAAGTTGAGGCAAGTGTGGGTAGAATATTAAGAAACCTGGGATCAATATTAGACAAAATAAAAACCAAGCAAATGTATTATAGAAATGAATTTGGTCACTACAAAATAAGAAGCTCAAATTGCTAAATAACTAAAATAGTCTTAAATCTATATGCACCTAAATCACATTGAGCTGCAAGGAGAAACAAATCTATTTACCACCATACTGAGAGATGTTTAAGTGGACTAGAAATCGAGACTTTAAATAAATTATAAATAAACATTCAAACAGTCAACAGGTTTATACAATAGGAATTCTACAGTCAAAGCTAGAGAATTCACAATCTTCTAAAAGTCTCATACAATACTTATTAAAGAAGAGCATCTTCTGAACCATAAAGTGAATCTCAACAGCTTCCCAAAAGATTAGATCATATATTTTTTTCTTGTCTCAATACAATCAAGTTAGATTTCAATATTAGCAATAAATAGAAAATCCCAGAATGCTTGGAAATAGGTGTTCTCCTAAGTAACTCTTGTATTACAGAGGGAATGATAGTATAAACTGTAAAATGTCTAGAGAACTAGACACGTGTCTGGTGCAGCACCTAATATGCTGTGTGGGCAACGCGCATTATTCCCCAGAGTTCCTGGCCGTGACTCCTGCTCCCCATGCGGGTCTAGCATCCTGCTGATACACACCCCGGCAGGCAGAATGTGGCTCAAGCGCTCGAGTTCCTGTCATCCACACAGGAACCCAGAAGGAGTTATAGGTACCTGACTTCAGCCCCAGACCTTGGAGGGATTTATAGTGGATCAGAAGAAGGGGAATTTCTGCTTTGAATCAATAACAAAAATGTTGCATATCAAAAATTGCAGGAGAGCTGAAGCAATACTTTGGCATTCTCTGTTGTTGGCTGATATTTGGATTATGCTGTTCCTTGGGACACACAATGTCACTGATCTGTTTGAGCACAGCAGGTCAGAGAGGAGGTAGAAGAGGATTTCTACACGTCAAGGGGTGGTCTCGAAGTACAATTCAACAATGGTCCTTTCTTGCTGCATTTCAGAATCAGTGATAATAATATCCTTAGATAAATCCAATGGAAGCCACAAACCAGCATCAGGGACTGAGGAAGCCAATCTCTCCAGAGGGTCCCAGGGACACTCAGAGTAACCTTGGCATGAATTCTTAAGCTCACTGAGTTAACTAAAACCAGGAGAAAATGTGGGGGGAATGTTGGCCTGTAGGAGAGCTTAGGTTCCTCTTAAGTAGGCTTGCACCTACACTCCCACCATCTCCCACTCTCAAAAATTAAGGAAAGACAAAGTGAGAGACGCCTCACTTTTTTTCCCTTTCACCAAGGTCAAAAACTAGGGCATGTGATCATTCATTAAGACAGTCACAGCTGGGCCCGGTGGTGTGGCCTAGGGGCTAAAGCCCCCACCTTGAACGCACTGGGATCCCATATGGGCGCCGGTTCTAATCCTGTCAGCTCCACTTTCCATCCAGCTTCCTGCTTGTGGCTGGGAGAGCAGTCGAGGACGGCCCAAAGCCTTAGGACCCTGCACCCACGTGTATGATACCCGGAAGAAGTTCCTGGATCCTGTCTTCGGACCGGCATAGCACTGGCCGTTGCACTCACTTGGGGAGTGAATCATTGGATGGGAGATCTTCCTCTCTGTCTCTCCTCCTCTCTGTATATCTGACTTTCCAATAAATAAATAAATCTTAAAAAAAAAAAAGACAGTCACAGTTGAGCCCACTTGTCTCTTGCTTCCACATTCCTGGAAAACAATCCCTGCTTTGAACTGCCCTGTCCCAGATAACCCAAGATGGAGGGGTGGGGTGAGGTTACACAGTTCTACTCTCAAGTCCAGCACTATCTAAATTACTCTTTTCCCTTCCAAGCATGCTGCTCAACCCACTCTTCATGCTATAACCAACGCCTACCATGTTATCTGTTTTCTGCACAGCTTTCCCAACTCAAACTCTCGCCTTCCTGTTCATGTGCTTTTTCTGGATAGAACACTGTGACAGAAAAATTGGACCTCACTCACACATCAGCAATTGCCCCTGCTCTGTGGCACTTGAGCCCTGTGAGCTGTGGTTCTGTCATAGTAGTAACTAAAACTGCTATCGTCAGGAGGCTGAAGGTTTTCACAAACCAAAGAGCCGTCACAATTGTAACCTGATCAACCAGTGAATGAGTGACGGCATCTTGATGGAGAGCACAGCGTTAAGTAGAAGCCGTAAACAAGCATACCTGGTTGGTAATCAAAGCAGCCACGTGTGCCCCTGGAGTTCTGCGAGGCTATCAACTTAGGCTAGCACCAGATTCTACTGAGCATGCCTATCCTGGGTCAGTGCAGCGGAGGGAGCCCAGAGGCCATCTGCAGGGCTGAGAAGGTTCTTTCTCCTTGAAAAAGAGCAGAGCGGTGTGATGAGCCCTCCTATAAGGGCTTTTTATAAATTATGTTTTATAGCAAGTTTCCTTGGAAGGCTTTGTTTTAAAGTCATCAAGTCAGATGAGTGCTCTACAGGACCACCATAAAGCTTCTGATGGTTCCTGTAAGGGACCCTCTGAGGGGATGCTGGGAGGATTTTGTCCTAGTCAACAGGTTCATGGAGGGCTTAGTGTACGCCAGGGGTGTTCTTGGGTCATGGGATACAGATGATGAACCAAACAGACAAAAACTCCTATTCTCATGAGGTTCCAATCCAAATGAATAGACAAGTCAAAAAATTAAAAGGAAAAAGGAACAAGGTGCTTTGTGCCTGCTCATGGCAGACTCTGTTTCTTGCTCTCCCCCCACCTTGTAAGAATGTGAGTTTCTGAAATCTGAATTGAGTCCAGAGACCAAGAGAGTCCAAAGCATGGGGTCCTTCTGCTAGGGGCCCGGGTATCTTAATTTTTATTCCTGGTTCTTGACCCACAAGGAGAATTCAAAGCAGAAACATATAATAGGTAGGTAGGTAGACAGAAAGACAAACATAGATAGACAAGTGGAGACAGAGGCACACACACACAGTATAAATGAGAACAGTGATAGAATAAACATAAATTCATGCATGAGTGTAAGCTGCCTCACATGAGAAACAGTCATGAGTGGCCCAGAGCATTTCTCATAAAAGAGAAAAAGAGCAGCACTTGCAAGCTTGGTCCATGATGCAACCGAATTCTCCCCCATCCTTGGCCTCTTATAAGTTTAGTGGTAGTACTGTAATCATACAGATGAGGTGGGATATTACCATGTGCCCTGGTCATGAATAAGACAGTTGAGAAGGTGGAAGTATCAAACCAACAGTTAAAGAGACAAGGTGACATGACAGATTTGTAAGACTCCAGCTTGTCTGAACTTTAACTAAATGCCTAATTATACCATGTAATTTCCTTTAATGAAATTAATAGCTTCTGGTTCTTCCTGGCCTGCGACATAACTTATGACTACAAAATCCTTGTAGCAGTGTAGAAAGGCAGCTTCCTTGTCAATTCTAGCTGGTTCCCTGCCTAGGTCCAACCATGTCAGAGATGCTTTTCCCTCCAGGCAGCAGAGCTGTGCATGTGTGTGGCATGTGTGCGCAGGTATGTGCAAGCATATGTGTGTGCAAGCCCCTTCTGCTCAACATGAAACCTACCTGCAATGCTAAGGTTTTTTATCACTCACTACTAAAAGTGCTTCACTTAGCCCCTCTCTCTCAATCCTGCATTAAAAAAAGAAAATAATACAAGAACAGTGCACCAGAAGTAGTCATCAAAAGTCTTGCAGAACATCTTATGGGCTGCTATGCTGGTTCCGGCTAAGCAGTGGGTACCCAACAGCTGACCACGGAGCACAACAAAAACTAAAATCACTGCACCTGGTAATTTGTAAAAACTACCATAGCTTTATCTCAGTGCTGAAAACCCACAGTGCTTTCAGAGGAGTTGCTACAATTAA